TTGGGGCCTCTCCGGTACCAAGAAAAGGAGGATTAGGAGCAATGGGGGGGGAAGTAAAGAAAGAAAACCGACTCATGGATTTAAATTCCCGACCCCTTCAGATTCAGAACTTGCTTGGTCACTCTATGCACCTTCGAGAGGCGGTACAAACGAATAGTTGAAGTCAAGGAGGCCATCCAGCATCCAGTGCTGGGGATCGAAAAAGTCATAGTTGGTGTCGCCATAATTCATGTTTCCAATGATGCTGGTCGGTGCGGTTGTAGGTGCAGACAAGCCTGGGGCGCCTGGTGTTAGTACACCATTCGCAGTAAGCAGGTTGTTGGACGTAGGGAGAGTGTGTGATGGCATCAACGTGCTGTCAAGTTGCGAGGACGCGGCTGAGGACTCATTGGCCGAATCCGGATTGGTAGGGTGCTTCAAGGCAGCTACACGACACATGTTAGCTTTCAAATGAGTTCGACCAAAAAAAAAAACAAAAAAAAAAAAAAAAACACACTCGCTTCTCGTCGAAACAAGGAAAAAGGAAAAAGGGGGGATTATCCTGCAGGTTTCAAGTGCAGCTGGTGTACCCACAGGCCGAAATGTATCTCTTACCTTCGAGCGATCCTCTGCCCAAAGCTTGATACTCCTCTCTCCAACGCCAAACGGAGTCGAAAACAAGGCTCATACTGTGACGACATCGTACTTTAAGCTGTAAGCTGTCGTCGACCTGGATAGGGGAATCGTCTTCGCGGTTGTAGTTCTTCTGGTCCAAACGGGCGCCGTTCCACATCTGCACCATTAGTTCGGCCAAACGCCACTGCAAATCATTGGTAACCACACTGGTGGCACGGATGGCCTGGATGGAGCGGTGGAAGAGGTTTCGCCCGCGTTGGAAGTCAATCGTCTTGGAGAAGAAGGACCGCATCAACTTGAGCAAGGTAAAAGCAGCAGCTACTAACATCTGCTGTATGTAGTTGGTTGCGTAGAGCAAAAAGGTGCCCCCAATATTGTCGTGGGGAGATGTTACCTTGTCCACCTCCAGGAGATCATCCAGGAAGCTGACCGTGGCCCGCCATAAACCCATCAAGTCGTCCAAGTAGCCAGGGGTATTGCTAGAGTCGAAGAATCCAGCCAGCCTCATGTGAAGGGCGGCGGCACGCAAGTGCAGATTCACGACGGAACCCAGCTGCTGAGACATGATAGAGGCATACAACTCTGAATACTCGCGCCGGTATACCCTCATGAGCATTGCCCTGTGCTCATCTCCGGCGACTCCTCTAGGGTCGCTTGCGTTGCTATACATTTCCTTGGAAACCTTGTCACAGAATCTCTCAATCTGGAGTCGGGCCTCCAACTCAGGAGAGAGATGCAACGCCGGGTCGTCGCCGGGTCGGAGGGCCAGGGTCCAGTCATACAAGGAAGAAGCTGGTTGGCCGTAGCCAGTGCCGATGTTTTGTGCCACAATGTTGCACACGGCCCACGTAGTGACACGATCGGCAAGCTGCTCCTTGTTCAGATCGACCGATGTTCGAGAGAAGTCTTGGATGTGGTTGGGGCGATGCAATCCGATTCCCGTCGCCGTCTTCATCATGACGCCGCAGAGGATGTGAGTCGGGTCAGAAGTGGTTGTGCTAGTGGGCAACGGCCAGGCGCAGAGCAAGCACATGGCCTTTACGACGTAGTAATTGCTAGGCACTTCGCCGATGGTGGTCCACAGGAACCTGGTCAGCGGCCCAGACAAGTTGGAGATGAGGTTGGCGCAATTGGCAGGGCTAAATCGACGAGCAGCAACGGCGACAATGGACCAGAAGAGGAGAGGGTGCTGTTGATGGTATTGATCCGGGGATTGCTGAGGATTTAAGAATGGAAGAAAAGGGTGGTAGAAGGCGAAGAATTCGTTGAACAGATGGGTGACTGCTTCGTCTGTCAACTGGACCCCCTCCAGCTCGTGGGAGAAGCGCGGCATGCTATATGAGCCTCCTCTCTTGAGGTGGAGTAGGGATGACACCGCCTCGTCGGAACCCATCAGAGAAGGATTTCGCGTGTGAGTGTAGGTCGCGGTGCTCGGTGCCATGGGAGAGTTGAGAGTGTCGTCATCTTCGAGTATGTAGCCTTGAGCCTGGGCGCGGGCGATGTTGCGCCGTAGACGGTCAATCTCCTTTTCCATCTCGGCATGCTTGGATCGCTTCCCAATGCGCTTGAAGTTGGATTCAATCTTGCACTCGAGCTTTAGACGGTTGCACCGTGAGCAGCTCTGGAACGGTTCTTGGACGACATTACACCGCAACTGTTGCGCAGCAATTGCATCACGAATTAGCCAACATGACAAGGACAATCAATTGCGGACGAGGCAGGGCAGAGCAAGGCGGAACAAGGCAGGGCAAATCATGTTGTATCAGATCATATCAGATCAGATCAGAGCCGAGCCGAGCTGAGCAGAGCAACAAAAGCATCGACTCTCCCAGGCACATCGTGTATCTAAAAACATAAGGGCGGCTCGCTTGGTGGGGGAGGTGAGGACCAGAGGGGAGATGCCAGGGTTGGAGGGGCTGACTCACCTTTTGCTGACGACATTCGTTGCACGCGCGTTTGACACCGGGCTGTCGCTTCTTGTCGTGCTCGCCGTTGTCATGGTGGTCGCCGTGATCGTCTTCGTTGATGCTGCCGGGGCTGCTCTCGAGGCCCATGCCGCCGCTTCTCTTGCGCTTGGGCATGCCATTACCGTGGCGAGAGCTGGCAGGGCTGGTTGGGCTCATCGAAGGGGCCCCCCGGCCAACACCTGGTGAGCCATCCATGCCGATGTTTTCGAACGTGCTTGGGATCGATCTGTTCTGCCTCTCTGCTAGCCAAGGGACGGTGCTTGGCAGCGGCGTCTGCAGCAGTCGAGACGCTGTTGCGGTGCGAGGCCGGTGGAGGGGGCGCCGCTCCAGCTGAGGGCGACGTCAACTGGCGGTTGGAGCGGCCGGGCTGGTCGCGCGAGGCTGCAGCGGAACAGCAGCGGTAGCCCGGATGCAATGGGGGGCTAGCAAGTATAAGGATAGATTGGCTGGTCCTGAGGCCGAGTGCGGATGATGATGCTGGAATGGCCCAGGATAGTCACTTTTTTTTTTTTGGTGATGGCGGAGGGAAAAGTCCAAAAAGCTGCACCCGCAGCCTGGCAAAAAGTTGATGTGCTGGAACCAGACGGTACCTGCCGGCGGCGCCAAGTCACTAAGGGACAGGCCCCGTCATCAAGTACAGCGCAGGTACTCCGTAATTGCTTAGCTGCAGCGCTCCGGCCGTCACATCAGTCCGTGACAAGATGCACCACCGGCGAATTACAAGTTATTGGTTTTTGGCTCGATGCTGCTCAAATCCCGCGGTTTGTCTTTCTTGGGGGGGTTTCCCCTATTCTATATACCTATTATTCTACACCTGTCTATATATGAATGCCTTTATTGGATACTTTTACAAGGACCGTGTATTATATAGAAGAGAAAAAAAAAGCCACAATTTGCTGCTCCGTGCTGCTGTTATGCATGCAAATGCGCCGTGGCTGCCAATCGCCGGCGCCGCCCCAGCTGCAGGCCGTGTCCAAAGCGACCCAGAAATGGTCCAAATAGCCCAAATGGCCCCCCCAGACGTTGCACCAGAAAAGCCCACAAGGCGCGGAGTCCAAGAGACGAGGGCAGCCACAGTGGGGTCCACGAGGCCTGATTGGCTCGCCGCCGCATGGGATGTCACGTGAGGAGGCTGGCTCTGCCGCCGGACCAATCAGCGCCGGCCGAAAATATTCTGAAGCGGGGTATCATCAAGCTGCGACTGTGGGAATCCTCCGCCATTGCGGCTGCTGATTGGCCGGCTGAGGTGGAGGGCGTCGGTCTCATGGCGAGGTGCAGCACTAATGCCGCTGTGCGCAGCGGAGCTACTGAGTTTGTCTGCACCAGAGAAGGTACTTGATGTCTACTTGTGCCTTGGGTGGCGGCACAGGTACCAGGTTACGACGTGCAGCATTTCGAGGCAAAAAGCACACACGAGCTAGCACAAACAATGCGGTCCGTATTACGAGTGACTGGTTCGCACGCATACGAAGGACCAAGTACGGAGTACTCATACACAACCACTCCATGTGATATTAGCCACAGCCAGAGTTGCAAGGGGCGAGTCTTTCCTTTTTGCCTTTCTACCATATTAGTATTAGTAAAGCTACATACCTTAGCAGTAAAGCAATGAATATTACCGGATGTAGCTTAATTCATATGACCTGTTGTGCTTAGCCTGTTATACGAGTAGTACTCAAGGTACTTTCCAGGCCCAGGTACGAGTACTAATTCTTGCTTGCACAGCATGCTCTGTTTCATGATGGACGCCTTATCTTAGTAAGCAGACGGCTCGGCCACCCTCGTCAAATCAGCATGTGTACCTACCAGAAGTCAGAAGCCTCCATCATGCCATCTCTCTCCCTAACCCATCACCAAATATTACTTGATCGCCCTGCTGCTTCTACTGCTTCTACTGCTGCTTCTCCTTCCTCCCCTGCGCCAGCCTCGGCATCTGTGGATCGTGCTGCATCTGCCAAATACGGAGTAGTGCCGGCCAGCTGGAGCTAGCCCCTGGTCTCTGCTCTCATTCCATCTTATCATAGACAAATCGGAATCGCCTGTCTCATCAGCCAACGTGGCACGTCTCGACACCGCCTTAGACATCCATTGATCCAGTCAAGCTCCGAATTGCTTTGTGCCTGACGTGAGATTAGCTCGAATAAGCTTTGTCGCCAATCGGAAAACGTGAGACACTTTCCCTAGCCAGGCATCCTCTGTTGGCGCCCCAATTCTTCTGTCTTCTGGAAGCGGGGGGTAAAGCCAAACTTATTCCTTATAACCTTTTTCTCCTTTTTATCTACACATGGTTCCTGAATCGGCAATTCCTTAGTTGACCTGGCATTGAATTCCAAGCCGTTTTTGCTCTCTCCAGTATTACTTCTTTCTCCGGGTGCATTATTGCCATTTTGACGCATTTGTGTGACATCGCCTGTCATCATGACGGACATCAAATCAACGCAACAATCCGTCAAAAGGGTGTTGAAGCCGGTCCCTGATCACGGGACTCGTGTGCAATCTTCCAAGACGAGATCCTCTCATCAATTTGCCCTTCTCGGCTCTTTGCCGGAGCCTGGTGGGTGCAGCGCTGACTCGTCATCCCAGCACATATCACTTACATGGCTTGCTAGAAATCATCCAGATCAACACTACGTCGGTGCCGCAGCCGTTCCTGGAGCCGGAGAAGCTGGAGCAGTGGAAATGAAACACAAATAATATCCGATTAGTATTACTCTCGGGTTTATTGGCTTCACTCACGATCTCTCGGCCGGAGATACATCACTTGGCGTCTGGCTCCGAAGCCACCTGACTAATGGTCGGCGCCGGTTTGTAATCTCGGCCCGTGATACGCCAGGCTCCCCGGGGATTCAAGGGATTCGATGCTCACAAAGAACTTACTCACGAGGCTTGGGGGGTTACGACAGCCTCTTTGCCGCGTCTCATGCTACTCGTACAGTGCCGTCTCTCGGAGCCGACGCTATCAACAGTAGTGTGCTGTTGGATCTGGAACTGACCCCGCACAGACCAAGGTAGATCGCCATCTCAAATTCTATCGTCGGCTCGGCTACGGGGTGGGTTGGCCGGATTTCTTTGCTCCAGCCATCCAGTGGGATAAATAGTTGCGGTCGACAAGCAAAGCAAGGGAGAACACGTTGTTGGTTCCCGCTGCAGAAAGCCTTGGCATTATTCGCATTGCATCTGAAGGCCTCAAAAAGATTTTCATTCCCTTCCTTTCCCTTCACTTTAGCAAGACCAAATCATTGCATATAAAATGTTCCTCGGAGAAGCCAAGGACGCGCAGGTCGTGCCCTTCATCATCAATGGCGAGGACTACTATCCTGAGAGATCATTTGATGTCACATCTCCTGTGACTGGCAAAGTGGTACACCGCTGTGGCGCTGCCACTCTCGCAGATGCCACTGCTGCTGTTGATGCCGCTGCCGCGGCCTTCAAGACTTGGAGAAAGTCAACACCCGTTCAACGACGTGACATTTTCCTCAAGGCCGCCGATATTATCCAGCAGAAGAGCGATGAGTTAGCCGAGATCATGTCAAATGAGACGGGAGCTGCGACGCCATGGGCTCTCTTCAACATCAACACCGCTGCAGAGTTGATTAGAGACGCTGCCAGCCGAACCTCTGCTATCGAAGGTTCATTTCCTACATTGATGGATCCCAACACCAGTGGCATAGTCCTACGAGAGCCCTATGGAGTTGTTCTGTCTGTGGCCCCTTGGTAAGCTGCAATACCTCTAATTCTGCACTCCCAACCGCTCCGTCTCACAACTTAAACTAGGAATGCCCCCTACATTCTACCCACTCGTTCTATTGCTGGCCCTGTTGCCGCAGGAAACACAGTTATTCTCAAAGCTTCAGAGCTTGCGCCGCAATCTATGAGGGCTCTTGTATCCGTCTTCCACGAGGCAGGTCTGCCCAACGGAGTCATCAACATGATTGCCCACGACCGGGATACTGCGGCTGAGATCACAACGGCTTTGATTGCCAACCCCCACATCAAGAAGATCAACTTTACGGGCAGCACCAACGTTGGACGAGTCATCGGAAGGCTCGCTGGCGAGCACCTCAAGCCAGTCATTCTAGAGCTTGGCGGCAAAGCACCGGCCATTGTCTGGGAGGACGCGGATCTAGATGTCGCAGCCCAGCAATGCGCATTGGGCGCGTTCCTTCACGGCGGCCAGATCTGCATGTCTACAGAGAGGATCATTATTCACAAGAAGATCAAGGGCCAGTTCCTAGAGAAGCTGACGGCGGCCGTCAAGGACATGTTCCCGTCTGATGGGCCCGCTCCTATTCTCGTCAATGAAATGGCCGTCAAGCGGAACAAGGCGCTCGTCGAAAATGCCACATCCAAAGGCGCCACGGTGATTATAGGAGACATCAAGGCTCTCGAGTCACGCAGCACTGAGTTGCGCCCAGTCGTTGTCGACAAGGTGGCGCCCGGTATGGATCTATACAAGACGGAGTCGTTTGGCCCAACTGTGTCCCTTTATGAGATTGAGACGGAGGAGGAGGCTCTGGAGCTTGCAAACGACGCTGATTACGGCCTTACGTCGGCCGTCTTCACCGAAGACCTCAGGAGGGGCCTTCGTTTTGCGAGGGAGATTGATTGTGGCGCCGTTCACATCAACAACATGACTGTTCATGACGAGCCAGCTCTGCCACATGGAGGGACCAAGTCAAGTGGGTTCGGGCGCTTCAATTCATCCGTTGGGCTGGACGAGTGGGTGAGAACGAAGACGGTCACTTTTAAGAACTAATGCTTTTCAAGAGAAGCGGGATATAATTTCATAGGCGGATACTCTAACTGTAACTTTAAGCTGTAGCTTTGACTTGGAATAATTCAATACTTTCCACTCCAACTTGTCTGGATTTTTGATATCTATCGCCTTCTTTGTGATACTCTCAATTAACGAGATGCTGTGCAGCTAAACAACTTGATAGCATGCTTTAGGGGTAATTTATCTTTCAACTCGTACCATTCTTTGACTGCTCAAAAATTGCTAGCACTCGCAAGTAGATCTAGATCTGTAGCATTAAGTTCCCAACGCTCTATAAAGAACAAGAAAGCAATACTAGATATGGTGGGCGGCAGGGGTATCAGACTGCTTCAAGTGCTCTAGCAAAAAGGAGGGGACTTGGGTACGTAAGGATGCCAACAGGAGGGGGGAAGAGGCAGGTAGTCAGTCGCTAGCAAATCTATCTCGTTGAAATCAAATCAAATCAAATCACAAGTCTAAAGAAAACCAAACATCTTGCAGGGGCCACTGAGGAGAGAGCGCAGATAAGAAACAAGAATTGCTTTTGTCTTGTTTGCTTTCCCTCATCCACAAAGTCAAAGTCAACCAACAATTGGTTGACAATGTCCCCCCCGCCCCCAGCACATAATTTTTTTCGCTTCACGTACGAAACTGCAAACGTATAATAGAGAAGAGCATATTCTGCAAAACGTGGAGAATGACAGCAACGCTGGTAGGCAAAAGCTCCGGCCAGACGGCCAGATCCAACTTGCCCTCCAGCCCAACGTCGATTTTGAAAATCAGGGCAATCAGCCCCCGCACGACGAGACTCGCGACCAGCTCGCACCCCCACGTCACCATGGAAGCGTAAAACGTCAGGTTAAAGTCGTACTGCAGCGTCTGGTCCTCGGCCTTGTCAAAGGCAAAGTACGGATACACCTCCTTGTTGGCGCCAAAGTGGAGCACCAGGATGCTTCCCAAGAAGGTGGCCATGGATGTGTTTTCGGCCAGGAAGCGGATGAAGAGGTTTCGAGTTTGCAGCTTTTGATATGTGCCATACGTCAGCCCACTAAGGCCTAGGATGGTGAGAATCTTGTGGAATAAGCGAGTCATCATGATGGGCGATATGATGACCAGTCCTGTGGAAGAGAGAACTTGAAGGATAACGAACTGGGACGGCGAGCGAAGGCGGGCGTATAGAGCTCGGACGTAGGTCTGGTAGGTAAGCATAAAATAGCTGCGAGTTGATTGTTAGCGAGTTGACTCCAACCACATTTCAGAGCTTTTGGATTGGACAAGACAAGGGGAAAGACCAACAGTTTAAAAACCCAGCTCAAAGGATAGCTCCCTACGCGCTCGCCTTCCCTGATGCCCAGCACCCAACCCGTCAGAGCATCCAGCAAATGCACGGTTACTACCCAGCCATATACGTATACGACAGTCTCAAAATTGTTGTGAGGCAGCGTGCGGAGGTAGATTTCAGCATACGCTTCTCCCAGAACATACGCCATCAACCCAATAAAGAGCGCTACGCAGAACCACAGAAACCTCACAAAGCTTGCTGGCAGCCATCGGCGCCGCAGAGCCACTCTGGATGTACCAGAAGGGGGCAGAACTCTCAAAACATCTTGCTCCCAGAGGTCGTCGGTGAGATCGCGGCGCCGGCGTTGTCGGTTAGGAAACGAGTCGGGCTCCCCTGTCCACCACGAGGTCGTAAAGATGCGCTGTGTCTCCGAGAGAGAGTGCCGTAGCCCAATATGTCGTTCGTTTGTCATGAGGATAAGAAAGGCGATGGCGACTGGCATGGCCATGACGATGAACGTCCATGATACCCATGCAGTGTTGTGAACGGTGAGGAAGCGAGTAGAAGGGACGAAATATACGGGAATGGGCACAGCAAGAGATATGATTGCTAGAAGAGAGATTGTTACTGGGAACCCAAAAGACTGTGGCCACCTATTAAGAAAACGTCAGCCAGGTTACATAAAACGCGAGGCACTGAGGGTAGGTGTGCATACCAATTCAACCTGTAAAGATTGAATACTTTGGTGATCCAAATCAGAGCACTGAGGTTATAGAAGCCGTAGTAGACGAAGAGGAAGAACCAAAAGTTGACCTGCACACGGGCCGCTCCGTGACCGGGGACTTTGCTGTCGAACGTCGCCGTGGTTCGTGTAAGTCGCTGCCAGATGCCATTCGCTTGGTCGCCGTCGTTGCCCTCGTCTGGGAACGAGTACTGCGGGAAAGGCACGGCACACCACGCAACGGCCTGGATGGACGCATGTGTCAGCCTTGGGCCCCAGTGTAAAAGTGCTCACCCGTAGAGGTCATGAATAGCAAGCAGCATCAACTTACCAGCGCCGCGGGGAGGAAGACGAGCAGTCCATATCGGCTCCACCACCTGTCCACCACACGCTTCACCGCCGAGGGCCTTGGATCAACAAAGAGATCGATGAAGTAGCCCTGCCACAGCCTCTCCCACCTCGAGTCGCCAACAGCCCTGTCAGCATCCCCAGAGCCGTCACTCAGAAGCCCCGCCTCGATCTCGGCCGCAATCACCGCTCCGTAGCCAACGTGTATGCTTTCGCGCCCGTTTCCATAGTGGCCGGCCAGCAATCCCAAGGGGCTGCTCGGTCGACGCGGTCCGATGCCAGGGCGAGGAGGCACGGCTCGATAGCGACCGAGCAAAGGCGACGAGTCCGTAGGCCGCGCGCGCGATTCAGAGCCCTGTGTGAACTGGAAGAAGGCGGGCATGGCTGCCTCCGACTGAGGGGAGACGAGAGGAGACGAGAGGACGCAGATGAAACGAGACAAGACGAGACAAGACAAGACAAGAGATGCAAGGCGGCGAGCGCTGCCCGTCCCTGCTGCTGCTCGTCCCGTCCTTTTTTGCAAGCTCAGCTCAGCTCAGCTCAGCACAGCACAGGTTTGCTCCCGCAGAGTGAGGTGAGTTGGAATGCGATTCGCTCGCTCGCACGAGAACAAAGGGCCAGCCGGCATGTGGAAGCGTAAATGACCTACAGCAGGGTCTCGTGCGCAGAGGGGCATCCCTGCAGCTGCATGATGCCGCGGGTCTTGTCGGGCGCTTTTGGTTGGATTGCGAAGCACTGAGATGCTGGAGAATCGGCACTACAGCAGATACAGCAGATTCCAGCAGATTTAGTGCTGCTGTTGCGCAGCTGCGGCAGAATGACGCGGTTGCCGCCAGACCCCTGAAGCCACTGGAAGCTTGGAAGCCAAAACAAAAGCGGTGTGCCAGCAAATGACATCACTAGCAGCGGGAGCTTTGCAGCTTAACGTCCACTGGTGTGTTCAATGTTTTGGTGACACAAGCAGCTGTGGATGGTATTGATGGCTATTGGACGCTGTATTCAGCCACTGCCTACATACGTATGCATGCACGAATAAATTGCTATACATCGAGCTATTCCCTCGTTGGGAAAGTAACACAGTTTTTTTGTTCTTGTTTTTCCAATCCTGTCTATTATGAATCAAGGAGCTAATCCTATTGCTTGGTTGGTGGTTCATGAGCATAGCGAAACAAGCAATAATACGCTGTAAATGTGTCCAAATTCTGCAAGGCGCCACGCCCAGCTGCCAAACTTTCCAACAAAAAATGTATGTCCCATCAACCCAATACATCATGTTATACAATACAAAGAAATCCCAAAAACAGAGCCACGCCCTTTTAGCTAAACATCCACAGGCCAAGTCTTGTTCTATCCAATAAAGGCGCGGCATGGTATAGAGAGAGCTTTATGGTTTCATGGCTCTCAGCATCTCACCTCGACGGCTTATTCCATTGAAATGACGGATCCATCGTCAGAGCCTCCAATCACATCATCTGAAAATGCCACCGTCTTTGTCGATGTTGACTTGCGGGACGGCTCAAGCACATCTCCATTCCACGGCTTGCATTCTTTGACGTGCTCTCCACACCGCAGACAAGTGAAGCCCTCGCCCTCTTCCCGGTCTAGACGCGTTGCGATGCATACAAAGCAGTAGATGCATCCACAGGGAATGGCCTCGTATGGATTAGTAACATCGGTTTGTGATGATCCGATAACGCCGCTAGATGCTGCTGCTGCCATGATTTCCGACTCAGATGATGCTGCGGCATTCTGATCCTGGTAGCAGATGGCGCAGGTCCTCTCGGGCAAGAAGCCAAACTCGCCATTAGCAGAATCACCCCCTTGGGTTGTGTTGATAATCTCTTTTGTTTTTCGCCAGGTACGGCTCAGCCATCTCCGCCAGCGGTTGATCCCAATCAGGGGCAGTACAAACAGAAGGAATTCGGTAAAGGCATGCCACACTAGCTGTCGATTGAGGTATTCAAAGGATACTTCGCGGCTGACATGGCTCGTGGGAGGTGCCAGTCGCATGCGTAAGACACGGTCGAGAATCGTGCGATACTGCCCACGGAATAGGAACACCAGGAAGGAGACGCATGCCGCGGCCGAGTGCACCGTTGTCAGTGCGGATGTTAATCGAGACAGCCTCTGGACTCGGGGGCTGGGGTCGCTGTATCCATCGTCCTGGTCCACCAGCCAGTCCTCCCATCTGGTCCAGGCATATTTCCCAAAGACCGTTATCAGGCCATACAGTGACTTTTGTAGCTTCGTCGGGGGTGACAGCACGGGGCCCCCTTTTCTGGCGTCGGTGTATTTGAGGTTTTGTAGAGCCGCTCCGTACGTTGCATCGTTATCCCAAACGGTCAGTTTGAAAAGGATGGCCCTAAGCGCCAGCTGAATCTCGGAAGACCAGTCGTCTTTGAGATGCCCGCCGGCATAGTATCTGAGGGCTTCGCCGACCTGCCCCTTGAGGAGGTCCAGCAGCTCTTCATCCAGGAGCTCGGCATCAACCTGCGCAACGCGAAATGCAGGCCGGGTGCTCTCTATGGAAGCAGCTGCATCCCAGACACCGGCAAGGCGGTTGAGGGGATAGGGCAGCCGCTGCAGCTGGGTGTTCACGCGAGACGATTCGCGCTGAGCCGCGATTCGGGCTCGCTGTTCGGCCTCGCGGGCCTGTCGTCGTGCAGCGACGCGCTGTTGGGCTTGGACGAAGCTCGAGTCGTTCATGGAGGCGGCATTGAGGGTTGAATCTGGGGATGCGGGTTCGGTCGTGTGTCAAGACTTCATGCCGAGCGCGATGGGGTTGAGAGAGTTGAGAGATGTCGAGATGCGATTATGAAAGCTGACTGAAGGACCCGAGCCGAGGTCTAGCTGGGGTGGCTTTCGGCTCGTGGATCTGCGGTGATAGGCCGGGCCCACCAGCCGTGGTTTTAGCACTCGAGGCAAATGCCTAGGTTAGAAATTCAATCGGCAGCAACGCAAAGCACATGAATTGGAATTGTGTAGGTGGTATTACAATGGCTGCTTTGCTGGTTAAAGGCGATATTTGATAGCAGATGGTCACGAGATAAGCAGCCGTATGCTCAAATACTCGTCATGTGATGCGGTGCCGTACTCGGGAGGATGGTGTCGATATGATCTGGTGTGCTTCGTAGATCCCACCCACACGCTTTGCAAATGAAGACCCCTCCTCGCGGGGTTTTTGAAGGGGAATCCTTTGGAAACGGCTTCGTAACTTTGTTGTTTCGTCTCCGCTATTCCATGCTGGCTCGTCTACTCCTTGAAGAGGGCCATTTCATGGTCGTTTATAGTGCTGACAAAGCGCAAAAACAAAACGCCTTCGAATCAATCATCTCACCTTCGAGGCTGGTCAGCCACAAGGATGCACGGGATCTGGAGCGTTACCACATGGCCGGTAAGACCTTTCATGTGCCGGCCAGACACATGGCTGTAGGTGCTTACAGACGGCGGGACTCGACAAAAGAAGGCCAGCGATTTATCATGTCCGGTTGCCTCGAATCCGAGTGAAGCTTGCATCGTTACAAAACGAACGCAATAATCCTCTTGGGGGAAAAACTTGTTCAAAAGATTCGCTATCCATAATCTTTTGCCTCATTTGGCCCTCTTCGAACATACCAGTACTGCATAAATCCACTGAACGGCGCTTGGTAACCTATGCTGTGAATCGATATTGCGACCACCACCTCGAGGATTTTCACGCTGGGCCTAGTTATATCGAGTACCTAAGAACCATCGCATTGGTTCAAAAAGAGCCACAAGGTTGTTCCTCGATTAACTCCTTCCTGCAGGCAGTTTATCAGCCGGATACAGCATGAAGCCCACGAGGAACAATAGCCATCTCACATATTATTACTGGGAACATGACAAACATCCCAACTTGCCCAGTACTCGGCCTCTCTACTTCCGCGCAGATACTCTACAGCGCTCTTCAAAAATCCTATCATAGTCTTAAGAACCCATGAAGACTCTAGAACCCGAGCAACGAATCGGATTCGTCGACGTCGCAAAACAGCAATCCATCCATGCCTTTGATCTTCCCCGGCCGCCCCTCCACACTCTCCATACCGCACTAAAGCAGCCTGACCCGCCCTCGATGCAGCCTAGCTTTAGACGGAGCTTCATCACTGCAAATCCACCATCTCCATCTCCTGGATTCATCAACGGCCGCATCTGCCTAGTCGCTGCTCGGGGTCGTGCTTGCGCTTGCGCTTCTGCTTGGGCCTGCTGCTTTCTTATTCGCCATCATCTGTGTGACTCATTGCCCGTCGCGACGCGAACCCGCCAAATCACGTCCATCGAAAGCACTTTATATCAACAGCTGCTGCCTCTTTCGCGCGATTGCGATCCCGGTCTCGCGATTCACGGCTCGGGGTTTGTCTGCAGGCTCCGTGGCTGGCCTTGGATTGCGATATCTAGGCCGGCCTATTTCAACGCCATCTCGAGGGATTGGGCTGGAGACGGGAGATTGATTAGATCCATCTTCGATCAACCCCAACACCGCCACCTCGCTGTTCACCAAAACGACGAACAGCTACAATACATAATCGTTCCTTGTCACCTCACAATTACACCTCTAGACCTTTCTCTCTTTTTCCCCCACCCGACTTCTGACAGAATATGGCACCGCGTCGGCGAGAAATCCCCGCCGAGGGCTCGTGGCGCCTCGTCGACGGTGAAAACGACAGTTTCGACACAAGCATTATTGATCCTCTGCCCGGGGATGACTTCAGCCCTCCGTCAAGCGCCATGCCCTCTTCCGGGTTCCCCACCCAGGAATCCTTTTCCCAGAGTCAGAACAACATGAGCTTCGCATCTCAGGACAGCATCCGCGACTTTGCCAATTTCCAGAACGACGAAGACGTCATCTTGCGACAGCCTTTCCGCCCCACGCTTCCCTCGAGTGCTGCCACTTCGATGCAGCGTGCTTCATATCCGCAGCCCGAGCTGCAACTCCGAATGCCTCTCGTTAAAGCCAACAATCTCGTTGCGAGCGAAGCCTCACGGACCGCCAGAACCACCGATGATGATAGCGAGGAGGGCAGTGTGTGGGATTCTGAGCAGGAACAGGCTCCTGACAATTGGCACGAAGAGTCGGAAAAAGAATATGCCAGGCTTTTGAAGGAGCAAAACGAGGCTTCGGTTAATTGGGGCCACACCAAGCCAGGCTCATCAGCATCCAGCCCCTCCTGGCAACTGCTTCAAATCTTCCGCTACACAATAATACCCGTCGCAATCGTCCTTGTTGCATATCTCTTTCATATCAATGGCGTCTCTGTCCAAGACGCCCGCGACAAGGTCCAATCATTCTCATTTACATCTCTGCAGGATATTACAGGTGTTTCCAACTTCCAAATTCCATTCTTCGAGGCCGAGACATCTCACCGTGCCGCTGCTTCTTCAATCGACTTCACAAGTCTTATGGAGGTTCAATCTGGGTTTGAGAGTGTGCTCGATAAGAGCGCGTATGGCCTCACCATGCCTCTTGAACTCAAGAGTTCAGAGATGGCTACCCGAAACCTAAGGGCTCTCCTCAAGGAGACCGAAATCGCGGCTAGAGAAGATTTCATTTTGGAGCTCAATGGTTATATTGAAAAAGCTGGCCGAGCAGGCTCGGATTTGCAGACATTTTATATCCACATTGGCTCAACCGTCGACTCCATCATTAATATCAATCGCTGGACCCTGCGCCACATCAATTCCCTATCTATGGAACCCGAGACACCCTCACTACCTCCAGTCATAGCCTGGGCCATCCGACCGCTGAGTCTATTCAGATCATCAGAACAGGCTGGAAACGATCAGGCCCTGTTGGATAAATACTCTGAGCACATCACTCTCGTTCAAGATCGGCTAGGGAAACTCCTCGATGAAGGGAAGGCCCTCTTATTACTCCTCCACCAGAGCCAGAGCCAGCTAGGCGTAATTAATGAACAAGCCAAACAACTTCCTGGAGCGGGGAGTGCCAAACCCGACTCACTGCTCTCGACTATCTGGGCCTATATCGGGAGCTTCATGGAGGAGCCACGCAATTTCGACGAGCAGATTGTGCTGCTGAAGAAGGTGGACGCGCAGTATGCAAACACCATTTCTCATCTCGTGTCCCTAATTGAGGAGCTCAAGGACATCCAGCTGTATCTGGGGGATTTGCTCAAACGAAACGATGACTCTTCCGATATTTGGGAAGAGGGGCCTGGAGCGCTGGGTCAAACGACGTTGAGTGAGCAGTATGACATTATCAAGAATGCCGTGGAAAGGCTTGAACAGGCCAGAAAGAGAACCACGGAGGGCGAGGCAGAGAACAAGACACCAAGCGAAGCAGAGCTCGAAACACCGAGTGAAGCGGAGACTGAGACACCGAGTGAGACAGAGCACGAGACGTCCGGCGAAACGCACGCCGAGACGAGCAACGATAACTGATGCCAGAAGTGAGGATGAAGCGAAGCGGGAGCAACTGTTTCTTTTACTGGTTTATAACGTAAAATGGGAACATAAGGAAGCTAGCCATATTTCTTTGTCCTGTCCCTTTTTTTTTTCCCTTCTTTTTTTTCTATTTTCGTTTTCTTTCCTTCTTTTTCCTTTTCTCCTTTAAGGCTACTCATTCATCTCGCGATTCTATAAGCATAACTCAAGGCTGCGAGAAGTCGGGATTTTTGTATACTACATGGGCGTCACTGGGTATAGACATATGTCATGAAGCGGACTGCATCAGAACCAAATAGCAAATTTTAAGAAATAACCAATCAGTGCTGGTCTCGGCATTGATTTTGTGTCAGCGCCTGTACTTCATTAATTTTTGACCTCCTGTGCCTTTGAAGCTTTCTACCTAAAGTACCGTATCCCAACTCAGTCGCCATCGTCGTCATGAACCCCTATTATAATCAGTCATCGTCTTCATCGTCATCTTCTCCCGTCCGCCTCTCTCTTCCTCTTTTTCTAATCACCAACGAACTCGCCGCCACACTCTCCCTCCATCCCCTAGCAGGATTAATCGGCTTCAAGAACCCATCCACGTGCACCGCTCCCAACACCTCATCCTCGCTATCCCACTCCTCGTCTTCATCTCCCCGCCCAGGGTGCACAAGTTGCATATGCCGCCGTAGATTCTGCCTCCTCGTGAAGCCCGTAGCCGAGCGCTCGCACGTAGGGACCGGACAGAGGTGGAAACCTGCCGAGGAGCGCGACCTCGAGCGGGATTTCGATTGTGAGCGATTCCTGGGCGTGCCGAAGGTAGAAGACGCCGAGTGAGGCGAGGAGCGCCCGCGGAAGGGGGATGAGCTGCGCCCGCGACTCGAGAGACGGCCCAGCGAGGCCTGGCGGGAGAGCGTGTTGCGGGATGACGCAGCAGTTACGGCGTTCGCTTGGCTGTCTGAATCGGAATCTTCGTCCAGGCCGAGCTTGATCTTCTCTGGCCGGTATTCCATCGTATGAAAGGCCGGTGCTCTAGAAGCAGGCGCCTCATCCAAACGCCGCACCACCATACCTTGGCCAAACAGATTGGCGCATCGCTTCGCTGTCCGGGCAATGACCTGGGGAGAGAAACCAGCCAGGGCAGCAGCGCCGACAACATCGCTCCAGTCGCGGAGGCCAAGCCTGCGTAGCCGTCTCTCCTGAGCGCTGGCCTGCGGCTCGATTCCCAGCTCTTCCTCCTCTCTAAGGAGGGCCTGCTCACGCGCCAGCTTCTCATCGCCCTGACGGAGCCATTCTTCGAATGCTGCGTCTCTGTCTTGTGTTAGTGCCGGAAGCCTTCTGTGGGATTCGCGCGCGATGCGAATGAGCATCTCCTCATGTGTCTCGCCTTCGCGAGGGATGTGGATTTTCCGTGGACGACCTCTTTTGCTTTGGCGAGCATTCGGTGTAACGGCGCCGTCTGGGTGAGGCGAGGTTTCTGCTCCAGTGAGCTGAGTGCTGCGAGGGCGACCACGTTTACGCTTAGGGCCAGAATGGGCATCTGATTCCGAGTCGGAGGTTGCTGAAGAATCGGATGCGTAGTTCGTGGTGGCGACGCGGGCATTGTGGAGGATATGCAAGGTCGCGTCCAGCTGTGACAGTATGTGTCGAACAGATGGCCGGATGATTTCGTAGGATAGATCGTCATTGGAAGACATTACAGGCTCCTTTGCCTCTGTCGTCTCTCTCTTCTTTTGTTTTGTTTGTGCTGGCTCATCCTCGCCGCCATCATCATCAATCATCATTTTCTCGTCCTCAGAAGAAGGATCCGATAGACCTGATGTCTCTTGGTCTTCTCTCTGAGATTCGCCGTGATTGAAAGGCGTCGCATTTCCTTCAATAGATTCAAACACGACTTGCCTCTTTTCTCTGGCCTTGCTTTTGTGAAAACGCTCTCCAGCCAGCCTCAATATAGTCGCTCCCAGCTCCTCATGCAGCTCGGAGCTAGGCATCTGTCTCTCCGCCTTGCGGAATGTAAATCTGCCATGCCCATCGTCATCCTCTCTCCGGATGTGCTTCTGCTGTGGCACCCGCTTTTCGTTCAATGGCCACGCTGTCCAAACTCTGGGGGGCGCCCATATACCCTGCTCTCCATTTTCCTGTCACCCAATGTCAGCCCATCGCTCATGAGTCAAGGGACAGGTGGCTCAGTCAATGAGATTAATACAAGAGAAGCGTACCAGGGTAACCGTGACATCATGTGCCGTTTGAGAGTCTTTTCCGCTCTTCTTCAGCGCATATGCGTTGTACAAGTGAATCGCCAAATCCTGACCCTCGACAGCCTCCATCGATTGCCAGAGCCGCCGCTCCTCCACCGTCAAGCGCTGCCATGTTCTTTGTGCTCCTGTCCAGCGGTTTGGCCGGTTGTCGTGCAGATCTTGGGATGTGACAGATGCGATCTCGTCGCTGTCGAGATCCCACTCGGGAGAGCTTCGATCCATGCCTCGCCTGGCAATCACCTCACCATCGATAGATTAGTAGCTGCTTCGTAACATGTATGAGTTAATTAAGGTGTATTGACGATTAATTTTTTCAAGAATAGTGTTAGAACAAGGTTTTAATCGGATTCGCAAATGACGGGAGGGTCGCTTGATGCCAATGTTGATGAAAAGTTGAGGTTGAGGCTCATGGTGAAAAGTATAAGTTCACGTGCTAGGAAAATTTCAAGTCTACTGTAGATAATCATCACTATCAAAGCACCCTGACACAACTTGGTCAATCTCGTAAGCATCATTACGCCAGTTTTTCAATCTCAAATATTTAATATTAAAGAGAAATCCATTTTATTTTCATCGCATATACGCCGTTGAATCCTATTTACTAGTATATTAAACAGTACATCCCGAAAATTACGCCTTGCCGTTGGCCTTTTCCTTTTCCAGCTTTCTCCTCTTGGAGCGCAGCTTGGCATCCTCTGCGCTCTTCTTGTTGTTCGTGTACTGCATCTGCTCAAAGAGCTTTCTCTTCTTCTTGCTCAGCATTCCCTTGGCCCGGTCCAGGTCTTCGGCCTCTTCGCGGGCCTTCTTTGCAAGGGCCTTTCGGGCATCCTCCTTTGCCTTGGTCTTGGGGTTAGCAGCCTTTGATTTGACTGCCTTGCCGGACATTTCAGCTTCAAGCTCAATCTGTCTCTGCAGGGCCTCGTTTTCGTCGTCATCTTCGTCTTCATCCTCCTCCTCCTCAGCTTCATCCTCATCCTCAGCCTCATCCTCGTCCTCATCTTCATCCTCATCATCCTCTGCAACATCCATGCCCTCTACAGTCTCATCTGCATCAGCCTCTTCATCATCATCGCCAGCCTCGAGGGCTTCGTGCTCGGGCTCCTGCTCCTCAAGGGACACTGTCGGGTCGTAGGCTCCCTGCACCTTTCTGACAAAGGGGCTCAGATGCGGGGGCAGTGATGCGCCTGGCGCATACACATGAGGCTCTTTCAGCTCACCATCGTTGACAGAATCCCAGACCCACTGAGGTTGGATGTATATCCGGCCAGGCACACGTCGGTTGGCTGCCAGCTTTTGCGCCGTCTGGTTGTCCTCGCCATCACCATCCTCGTTCATTGAAGCTTGTATCGGGGGTCGGTCGACGATCTGGTGAGTGATTGATGGGTCCAGCTCATCCGTTGTGAAAGCGCCGCCACCGAGCACGGCGTCCCAGCCGACACGCTTGCAGCCGAATGACTTGAGGATAAACTCTAGGGGCTGGCGGGGAGTCTCACGGGACAGGTAAATTGTGAAGTTTGAGAAGAGGGAGTTGGGGCTAGTGCCACTGTATGATGGCTGGGGTAGAACGTCGCCTCCAGGAGCAGCTGGCTCGAACTTGTCAATGGCACCAGCGGCGTCTTGGTCGGCCTCCTCATTGTCCTCCATTGCGGTATCGTCAGTAGCAGCACCATTTGCTCCTCCATTTGTCATGCTCTTCAGGACTTTGTTGACGGCAGCTTGAACCTTGGGGTCCGGCTTGTGAGCAACGTCCTCCAACTTGCTCTGCTCTTCACCGCCAACCAGAGTCTTGCCCTCCAGGGTGAAGGCGCCCAGCTCGGCAGCATTCTCATCCTTGACAGCATCGAACTTGGGCGGGTACTTGAGGCCAATTGAAGTATAAAGCCTGAAGTTGACAAAGCCAAGAAGCGTCATGTAGAACTCGACAAAGGTTCCCATGATGCGGAAGTCGACATCGCCGACAATTCTCTGGTTGAACTTGTAGGGAACCAGCCACAGGACCTCCTCGCCTTGGATGTTGGCCTGGTAGTAGATACCCTTGATAGACAAGAAGGACTTTGTAAGGCTCTTGGAGACAATGAGATAGTGCTGGAACTCGAGGCACAATCGCTCGCAGCGGGCAATCATCTTAGCGGGCACCATGGAAGTCGAGGGCAGGTTCGCAAAGAGGAAGAGCATAGAGAGGCAGTCATCCAGATCCCTCAATGCGTCGACAAACGTCGGGTAGCGCTCGCGGACAACATGATCCAGAGTGTAGGTCGGCTTTCCAGTCTTGTCTGGTCGGCTTGCATTGCTCTCCAGTCGAGCGGCATCGCTGACATCTCCTCGGCCCAATGCTCTTGAAATCTTCTTCTCCAGAACCTTGTGGTCACGGAACTTTTGCACCAGCGGCTCGTGAAGGAGATACTGAATGTCTTTGGTGTAGTAAAAGGTAGTCGAGGCAGTGGAAGACTTGGAAACCTTCTTCTTGCTGCGAGGCTCTCGGGGGTAGATGCCTTTCCAAATGCAAAGCTTTCGGAAATCGGGAAGACTGAGCTGCAGTTTTCGGATCGCCTGGTTTCGCGTCACGAAGTTCTTGGCCGCACCGGCCTGTCCCTTCTTCTTTATCCGCGCCATTGTGTTGACTGTTGGCGATTTGCTATGGCGAAGCTTTTGATACTCTGTGGGAAAAAGTCCGCGGGGCAGTAAATCGCCAATTGTTTGAACTTTTTTTCTTGCAACCAGCCCGGAAATTTTAATGCCATGCGCCACCGCCCACGCCGTTGTCTGGAACAGGATTAGCAGCCCATGTCCTGCTTCACCGCCCAGCCCACTTTGAGCCACTCACGAGCCACCGACAAGCCACTCTTGAGGCTGCCCGTTCTCGCGTCGAACAGGAACAGCTCTAGCCAGGCAGCTGGCGATGTGATTGGCCAGCGAGGCTCAACTGCGGCCAAGTGGCCTCGATCCTGGTCCCTCCAATCTGCCCGAGCTTCAGTAGAGCCATTCCCAAGATCCTCCTCCAATATGGCCTAGGAGATGCCATGTCGACCACCATGACTTTGCAGAGCAAGGTCGGCGTCTTCGCTGGCGCCGCCTTGCTGAGACTCGTCCTGTCCACCGCCTTCCCCAGCCTGCCGGATCTGCTGACGGGCCGCGTCGAGATCTCAACCCCCGTGACGAGCTTCAAACGATGTAAGGCGCATCGCAAATCCCAGCGCTGAGAGGCGGCATTGAGTCCGATGCACTGACTGTTTCCGTAGTGCAGGAGGGATTGTTCCTGTATAACCACAATGTCTGGCCCTACGATGGCGGCGTCTTCCACCAGGCGCCGCTGCTCCTCCCTCTCTTCTCGCTGCTCCCAGACGTCAAGACCTGGCCCATCTTTACATCATTGCTGTATATCCTCGTCGATCTTCTCAGCGCATATGCGCTCCTTGTGATTGCAGATTCGGGAGAGGCCGGCCAGTCAAAACATTTCACCTCTCCTCGACGAGCCAAGAGATCCTCGGGGCTTCTCGTCGCTGCAGCGTAAGGTTTCCCATCTGTAAGGCTTGATGAAGCATGGAATCGGTGCTAACGTTGGGGCCATGCAGCTTCTTATTCAACCCGTACACAATCGCCGCCTCCATTGGCCGATCAACCAGCGTATTCACAAACTGCGCGATTCTCTTCGCCATCGCAAAGGCTCTGTCCGGCTCTCCCTTTAATGCCATGGTTGCCATCTCGTTCGCCTCCTACCTCTCCATGTACCCGCTTCTCCTCCTGCCGCCTCTTGTCCTCCTCGCATACGACCGTCAATCCGAAAAGCGGCGGATTGACTCCGCCATCCAGTTCTCGATAAGGGCTATTCTCATCGCAGCCGCCTGCATATCCCTCCTTTTGGCCATGTCGTTTGCGCTCACGGGCAACTCGTGGGACTTTTTAGCTCGAACATATGGCATCCAGCTCACCTTGTCCGATCTGACTCCCACGGTCGGGCTCTGGTGGTACTTTTTCATCGAGATATTCGACTCCTTCCGAGCCTTCTTCCTCGCCGTCTTCTGGCTACACCTCGTGATATACGTTGGCGGCCTCTCCATCCGACTTCGCACTCAGCCCCTGGCCGTCTTGACGATCCTTCTGGGCATCTTCGCTGTCTTTAAGCCCTACCCGTCCATCTCGGACACAAGCTTGTTCCTCGCCATGTTGGCGCTATTCCGACACTTATACCCCATTATGCGATACACTTACGTTGCCTCTGCCACCATGCTCTACGCGACGTTCCTCGGCCCTGCATTTTATCATTTGTGGATATATGCTGGCAGCGGCAATGCCAACTTCTTTTATGCTATAACACTGGTGTGGAGTTTGGGTCAGAGTTTGTTTGTGTCTGATCTGACATTTGCAGTCTTGAGAGATGAGTGGGAAGTGGAGAGACCAGAGATGGTGGGCAAGGAGATTCGACAAATATAGAACGGATGCATTTCGTCCCGCAGGAATTAAATAATAGATGTAAACTGAATGTGCTATCTTTGGTGGATCAATATGTATAAATACGATGTCGGTAGATCGGCTTATCGGGAAAGGGTAGCATTTACCATGGCGTAAAGAGGACAAGATCAAATGTCAATGTACTGTATTCCGAAATTGAATTTCTTTTTTTCAATCTACTTCGGAATCTACTTCTACTAATTTCCCATTAGGCCCTCCATGATCTCGAGCTCCTGAATCGAGACCGCTCGGGAGAGGCTGAAAGGGACCCATGGCACTGCTGAGCATTGTCCCAAGCTGCCCAAACTCGCTCAATCTTGTGCGCATCCGCCTGGGCTTCCACGACTGAGTCGATGCTCCAAACGGTTGCATCGCCCTGTAGGTTTGGAATCCATAGCCCGTCGCCAATCCGGCAAGGACTACGCCCATGATTAGCATCAGAGCTCTCTGGTCCAAGCCTTTCTTCTGATGTTCAGCCCTGTGGCGCATTTCGGCCGCGTACTGCTCTCCCAGGTTGGGAATATGGCGCAAGATGGAGTCGAGAATGCGGCCGCCAAAGCGAGTAACGGATGTTGGATCGGGTGTTGCCCAGGGAAGATCGCCGCGTGCGGTGATGGCGGCAAGCATGGAGTCGCCGAATTTGTGTAATCTGGGGGCTTTTGGCTCGAGCCAGTCTTTGAGGAAAGATCGTGGCACAGCTGGCTTCTGCATGAGAGCCAAATACCCGAATGCCAAACAGTCCAGCGAAGAGACCGCGGCATCTGTGAAAAATCGAGGGTGATCTTCATCTCCAGCGTTTATCAAATCATCCAGCACCGTAAGGCAGTCCTCGGTCAATCCAAATAACCGTATTGCCGTAGCTTGCTCCGGTGTCATCTCCTCGTGCACAGTCTTCTTGGTCATCAAAGGAATATGCCGCCGGAACGTCTCGGGCAAGGCATCTCTCCCCGCCGTCAGATGGAGGCCGCCATTGGGGTCGAAATCGGTATCCAGCTCGGCCAGGCCAAGATGCTCCGCACGCTTGATAGCCTCCGACCTGATCAAAGTCGGAACGGTCCACGTCAGGGGAAACGTCAGTAGTGAGCTGTACGCGGGCCTGGTGGTGGCGGCCCAATTTGCCGCAGAAACATATAAGGATAGATCAACCAGAGGCCCCGCGTGGGCTCTCAGATAGGCGCTATAAGCGACGCTGTCTGCCCGTTGGATGGAGCTGAGCGTCTCATCCAGGCCGTCACAGATGGCAGCTGAGGTTAAATATTGGACAATTGGTTGGAATCCGCTTGTCCAGGTGCCTTCATGTTGCAAAGCTGGCAAGAGATCTGAAAATTGAGAGTCAGACATATCACCTCGCCACCTGATACGTAGTTGACAACTTACTCGATGGGCTGACGGCCGGATCATTGCTGGGGATGAGACGCCATGACGATGAGGGAAGTGCATTGTGAAAGTACGCTATGATGGCCAGACACTCTGCGTCAATGGATGGCAGGCCAAAAGCCGGGCCCCAAACATGAAGGTCCAGCATCTCAACTAAGCATCAAGTGCTCCAACGGAAGTGCTTCTGTGGCCACTCCAACGTCAATGCAGGGCAGAAAGTGTCTCCTCGGTTTATGGAGCTGTGAGGCTTTGCTAAATGCGTCGTCAAAATATGTCTCTGTGAATTGAAACTGGATGGAGGTTGAGCATTTGCTGTTGCGAGCTGACTAAGAGTGTCGTTGATCATGAAAATGCCCAAGACTGCGAGACAAGGCATCGATTCCCAAGAAAGATTCAACAGACCCACTATTTCGGGGGCCCCACTAGTGTTGAGATACACCACCAAGAACTACATGATGATACTTGACACAATCATTTAGCTCTGTTATTGGGCAATTAGCGGAGTTCAAGGTCGAAGATGATATAGCACTAGGTATTTAGGAGTAAGGATTGAACATTGGGAGAAAAGCTTATATTCTCACTCAGGGCGATGTATTCATCATGGTCACAGACTGAAGCTCAACAACACACAATTGGGGTAGATGGGCATGGCTTCGAAACCGCAAATCGGAAAAGGATGAAATGCAAAAGAGCTTGATGTAAAATTAGAAAAAAAAATAGTCATTAAGCGCTATCCATACTTTATATGTATTGCACTACTCGTCAAAGCCATAAGGCGTGCACTTTATTTAATGGCCATTCAGTGAACGTCAATTTATGCATGATTTAGCGTACCATACCAAGGGGCATGTACCGACGTTTGACATGAAAGGACGGTATTCTCACAGGCGAACTTGTATTCACCATCGCATGTTTTGTTTGTATTAGATTAACTGGGCATGGCATGTACATATGCTGCCTTCAATACCAAAAACACCTTTCCGGCAAGTATCTCGGCGTCCATGTGAGAGTATTGCGAGTATTCAACCAACTATAGGCGCTCTAACCTCATTCAAACTGACAATCTTCTCAAAATAGTATTCTAATAATTGACTGTTGAGCTGGCTGGGGTAACTCTCTATACCAGCGTGTTGCAGCACAGTTTCATAGCTCTTCAAACTCCAATGTCTCTACACGGCCAATCAGAATAATAACATCGTAGCAAAGGCGATTATACTCTTAACGACGATTCAATCGATATAAAGCGCGAATACGCTATAATCTTTACGTGTGGATATTTCATTCATCAACCACCACCATCGTTGTATCTATTGCTCAGAATATGCTACAACAATATTCCATGCAAGGCATCACTTACCGTCAGGTTTTATGCGTCCAAATTCCATTAACTATAAAGTAAAACGGCAAGTCATTCTCTTTTAATTACTACCTAGGTAGCAGCCAGAAAAAATGATTCAGTACTTTACGGATTTAATACAGTTTAGCAGGATAGCATGCTTGGTCAAACCAAGGCTACTTTTCCCCGCTGCCTGTGAGGCCATGTATTCGATCATATCAGCTGAGCTTGGAAGGTCACTCAATCTTGTCAGACGTACGCTTTTAGTTCAGCCAAGAGGCCGCATGCCCAATCTGTTCTAAAGCGTCGCGAATTGGCGCCATATCTGTCTGCATAAGGCTACATACTCGTACTCGGACTAGCAGATGGCAAGGCCAAAGACTTGGCTTCGGCTATAAAGTGCGGCTGGAAGATGGACGGACAAGAAGAGCTAGAAACGTGGTAGTCCTCATTTCGCATGTGAAGTAGCTTGATAGGGTGAAAGGAAATCCGGGGCACCCTTGACCGAGATGGAGGCCGTAAACACGTTAAGGTATATTACCTATCACAAAGACTTGATGCCAAGACATCTTAATCTTACTAGCAGCACGGAGTAGCGAAAGAAGCAGATGTACACTACTACCGTTGGTTGGTTGTACAGCAGGCAGATTTCAGCCTTGGAGGAAGGGCCTGCTAGTGCAAGCACAGCATTCCTGATATAGAAGCGAGTCTGTGCCATGCTTGCTACTTGTATGTATTCATAGCTAGGGTGTTTGCCGAAAACACAAGGCGTGTTCGTACAAGTGTCGTACAAGTGTTGTACAAGCATGCTCATGTGTTCGCATCAGAGCCATGTAATACTGCATGACGCTTCTCAGAACAATCCATCGCCAAGGAGCCAGTAACACGGCCAAACTCTACAAAGACACACGCACAAGGTCATGTGGCACCAACAAAGCACGGCTGTGGTACGAGCCCATCACGACGCTCTTCTTGCCACGCACCCTTGCCAGCTGAGACGCAAGCAAGGGAACGTGTCAATCATTCGTTCATCGGTTGACTGACTCACTGGCGACATGGATCGAGCGTCCTACTGAGCCGATGGCATCAGCCAACGATGATCATGACGGCTCCCCCCGGCCATGGAGGGAAAAGGGCCCTGGCCTTCGCGATATTAACCGCCAGGGATCCGTTGATACGTGGCAGGCAGGTATCCAGCCGCACTCGTTTTCAATAAGAAGAAGGAAACCAAAAAACATTCGAGGATCGACGACACGTGATATCTCCTGCGTCTCAAGACAAGGTGCAGACACCAATGCATTGCATTTGAATAGACAAGTCTATGCAGACATGCGCGTCGCTTGGTTGAGCATCCTGAAACGCCGCTGTGCAAATGGGCCAAGCACGGCGTCTCCGTCCAACTATTGGGAGCAGCCCAGTTGCCCAGCCAAGCTGCGCTGCGCTCTCAAAGGGGGCCTCCCGACTCTGAAACATTCAATTCGCCACAGCCCTGGCACTAGATGGACGGGTTCCTGCTGTAGTTGACGATGGTGTCGCCAGAAGCGGTTATCGCCACTGCAGAGTCGTACGGGATACAGGGGGCTCTTTGGCTGTGAGAATCCAGCTCCACCGCCAATAGCGTGCGCGTGCATACTTTGTACATGTAGGAATATTACGAGTGGCAGTACATAGTACTATGCTATGTATGATGTTTACATCGGGGCAGGGCTTCGATTCGATATTCTTTCTTCTGGAGGACCCCTGAAAGATCAGACCCCCCCGTGCTTAATTGCTGATGCTGATCTGCCTTGTGTGTATCAAAACACGGTGCTGCGTTTTGATTTGTCGTTGTGTGGCGTTATATTGCACGATCGATAAATTCCCCCTAAGCCGTGCATATGTAATTTTACACGATAATACGACTCCAATAGTTGCTTTCCTTTTGCCACCGACGCCGCAGTCAGGTCGTAATGGATATCCAGATACATGTACGTGGAAATATTGAACTAGAAGTTCCCATCAATTAATTATTATCCACACAATTATTAGATGCCACATCTCCGAAAGGGTCCAGCGTACTCGTACATGTAAGCATCCGACTTGAACACAGCCAACAAGGCCCCCAAACCAATCAGCCTCGAGTCATGAATATCACACTAAATACGAATATAATCGACATATTCCAACCTAGCATCGTCTTCGTACTCGATAAATGGCCAAGAAAAGGCAGCACCGCCACTTCGGCTCAGCGGCAAACACCCATTAGCGGTAAGTCTAGAGGACAGGAAGCAAGAAAATAAAAAATAATAGAAGGGGTGTGGGAAGCACTACTCGCCACTAGAAGCCGGAAAAAGAAGTTTTTTCTTCTAATTCAATGGATAGCCTCATTTTAGAAGGGCGTGCTAGCCGCTCCACGATGGGGGCCCCCCAATGTTCACCGCATCGCACTCATCAAATCTCGTTGAAAAAAATAAAAACTAAAGGTAAAAATCCCCAAGCAAGGGTATCCCGACACGGTTCAGCCCGAATGGCGTCCACCGAGCAAGCTGAGCTCAAAAAGCCGGCAGTCAAAATCATTTCTCCATCGATGTATCTACTGTAGACTACCTAGACTATGTTTGAGGAAAAAACAAGATGGAGCCCGCCAAAAAAAAAACAGACCATGGCGGCCTCCCCGTGATAGCCTCGGCCAGCAGTCAACAGTCGACTCGTCCCCGTCCCTTGTGTTTTTTTCCCTTTACCGTCCCCCACATCCCAGCATCCACCGCCACGAAAAACAAGGCAAATTATGCGGAGTCCGGAAGTGCCCAGAATTCCGCAACACCTGCCCTTTTGTTTTTCCCTTTCCTGTCTTCCCTCTCTTGGCGCTGTAACAGAGACATAGACGGAAGTATTTCCCTTGTCCCAATGCGTGCGGAAGTCCACGGAGTACGGCAACGATGGCAATGGCTTGGCATGATCTGAGTGATTTACAAAGAAACAAGGGCGACAAGAATCGGCCTCGGCCAGGGTCTCGTTCGGAGATAAGCCGCCGACTAAGTCGTAGCTCTGCCTAAGTAGCCTGGCATTCCGGAGGCGCAGCGGCCACGAGATGAATGCGGAACGTAGCACTCGTTCGTTTGGTTAATAAAACATGCCCCATAGCATGTCTCAAATTGCGGCCGACAGGTCACTTTGCCCATCGGACGATCACCCAACAAGATCATAGCACCCAAGACAAGCTTACAGCACGAGGAGAGGAACAAAGTGGTAGTAGCAGAAAATGCCAAGTTTCATTGTAGTGTCTATGACTGCCAGACGGGGCAAGATGGTAGTGTCAATCCCACATTTCAATCGTTATCTCTGCCCATCGTATCCCGACCCAATCCAAAAAAGCAAAAAACCAGTCGTCAACATTCCCAGGGTATTCCGCGACGCACCCACGAATGCTCCGTAGTAGTGGTAGTAGTAGTACATGATTCCCTTCCAATTCCCAATGCCAGTAGATGTCCCCTCCGCCACCTTTCATAGAGGTTGATATAATGCATGACGCCAAAGTGAGATTGCAAGAAAAAGAAAAGAAAAAAAGAAAAAAAGAAAAAGTAGAAGTAAGTATTACATAGTATTAGAAAAAAAAAAAGTGCGTGTATGAGATACACCGCACAAGCGAAGTCGATGATCGAAACAAAGGATGTGCTCGAGCCAGCGAGGACGATGTGGAGAGAGATTAACGCAGCCTGTCATGTGGCCAGGCGTTGAGAGATTTGGTGGGGCCTCGTTCGAATGCTGGCGGCTATGACGGTGGTTGTTGTTGAGAGAAACGCTCAGGTTGTCATTGAAAAGCCGATGAGAGCAGGGTTGATGATTCGATGTCGACACGCCAAAAAGGCCGGGCTCGGTTTGGTGGGGGGAGCTGCCGCATCTCAGCCGCGAGCAGATGACCCCGAATATGCATGTCCAGCTCGGGAGAGCAGGTTGCATATAGATTGTGTCATGTCCAGCCCCGCAGTGGTTGGAACGGCTTTGTATTACGGAGTAGCAGCAGAAGTAGTGACGTGCAGCTCAGATCCGCTTCGCATAGCATAGCAGATTTGCTCGCGATGTGCCGGCGACCAGTGGCGGTCAAAGCAGAAAAGTAATTTGGAAAAACCTTGTGTAGAAGATCCGGATAGAACCATGGCCAAGAAAGGCTCAGCCAAGGAAGAGGTGTAGCCATTGTCTCAAAGTTGGGAGTATGATATGATACTCGGAAGATTATTCCTCAGAGCGGCGCGGCTCTCATTTGGGCAGAGGAGGAAGAGGTCGGCTGGGTGGGGGGCCCGGGCAGGGAGGAAGGTGAGAAGGTCGCTGAGCAGGCATTGTGGATGTGAGGGTTTGTTGAAGCTGTGAAGCTTGATAGTTTGTTGTTGAGAGGACGGCGGAAGAAGCGGCGTCCCGTGTAAGTTGGTTGGTCGAGAGTGGATGAGCGGGCTTGAGTGCTAGAGTAGCAAGTTCAAGTTGATGTTTAGTGTGCAAGAGTAGTGGTAGTTGTTGTTGTTCTTGTCTGATGCTGGTGATCTGGAGAGTAGACAGTTCGTGGGGAGAGGCGAGGGCAAGTGTCCTTATGTATTTTGGAGAGGCAATGGAAAGGCAAACCTGACGAGAGAGCGCACTTGTATCGTAGCGCGCCAGGGGGCGTCTCAGTAGGCACCCAGCAGGGGGGGGAGGGGTGTGTGAGCAAGAGTTGAGAGTACGAGATACAATCGACGCGGGTACCTGTTGAGCATGACGGGCATGCATTGCTGCACATACGTCAGCCCAGAATTGCGAGTACCAGCGGGGCTTGTACCTCTGCCACAGCACAAAAAAGCCAGACCGCAAAATGGCAGCCCCCACAGGCCTTCCCGTGTGCGCTGGGCGCTTCTCACAGCTGATGCAACCCTGGCTTGGTGACGCAGCGGCCAGCCCAGCGGGGCCAGGTAGGAAATTGAAACAGGCACAGGGGGGGGAGTCACTGTCGAGCCCTGATCCCTGCTGCTAATTGAATGCAGGGAGGGCGGTGGGATGGATTGACTTTTGGAGAGACACGGTCTGGCTGAGAGTGAAGCTCTGCCTAGCATTCTAGTCGACTTAGCATCAGTAATACCGAGATAGGCAACCAGAAAACGGTGAGGTGGCTTTTTTTTTTCCCTCTTTTTTCTTTTTTTTAGGTTTGATTGTTCGCGATCCATCCATCCCTCCATCCGTTCTATTCTAGGCGGCCCTGGCCTCGTTCCAGCGGCCAACCAGAGCGCGCTGCGCGTTGAAATTGCGCTGGCAGCCTCCCTTGCCTGCACCGGGGCCCGGCCAAGCAAAAGTACACGAACAGCTGCCACCTCTCACCGGAATTTGGCTGCATTTGCCATCGTTTGCAGGTACCGCTGCTGGCTGTTGCAGGCTGCCGCCCGCCATTCCCATCAAATCCATGCTACCTGTCCATAGCACTACCGGCATGTACCTATTACAGTAGGTCTATTGCAGTACTTGCACACGGGCAGCCAAGCAGTAGTAGCAGCGCATGTACTCCGTACATACTCGTGCGTGTACACGTATCCTGCCCCCTTTCCGTTTCCAACACTGGCCTGTTGCAGCCGGACAGTCAGGCCAGTGTAAGACTTGTCGGCCGGTAGGTACTCCGTCCGTACGATACAAACTCCACGTACGGAGTACCACTCGTACCTGTAACCGTAGTAATAGCGTAGCGCCGCACTCGTATACTTGTACATACAGGTAGTATCCATTGATGTGTTTTTACTTTGCCTTCTTAATATGACCCACGAAATCTCGACTCTCGCAAGCGCCCTCCTCCGGGCATGCGAACCGATTGGGAAACGGACTAGCCGCTCTTCTCCGTAACTTGGAGGCTTGCGAGGCCCAGCAAGGCCAGGAACATGATCATATCCCGGCCCACTCGCCTCCGTTTTTCGCCATCTCAACGCTTCCCTTTCTCCTTAACGGAGCGCCCAGACGCTTCGGCTCCACCGTATGGAAGCTTTCTGGAAGCCCGGCTTTTTCTAGCGCCCAAAGTTCTTCCTTGTGTCTTCTCTGCCACCTTTGTGGAGAAGAGCCTAGCACGTTTCATCCTGTCCTTAATTTTCACAGGACCGTTCGCTCATCTCACCCTCGTTTTCAGCCAGCGCAAGGACCAGCTGGCATCAGAATACGGAATAAGGGTGCGCGCAAAATCGTGGGGCGCAGGGCCACTTCTCAAATTGGATTTGCGCACTCGTACGAAAGCAGTAGCATCGTGGCCCGGCCCCCCCAGGACCGCAGCTTGCAGAGCTGAGAGAGGGAAAAGGGCCTTGAGACAGGGGTTCGTTCCCCAACATACTATGTAGTAGACAATTCAGTCCTCGCCGTCGTCTTTTTTGTCATTTTTTTCATTTATTCTGAAATATGCGGGTGTGTGTGCGTGTGATTCACACCGTGGCCGACTTGGCTACATCTCGCCAATCACACACAAAGCCGTTTGTGCAGCAAGCAAAAGTGATCAGGTGCCTCTCCCAAGGGAGAATTGCCCCAGTTCTGGGCGGGGCTTGGCGGTCTTGGCCCCTGCGGTTCAAGAGCCCGACCCCGTCCGGCAATCCGATGCATATCTGCAGTCGCCTCTCGTTGACCGCCAGAATCACATTCCAGGCGGTAAATAATTCAAGAACTGCTTTGCATGAAAAGTGGCCGGTGGATAAAATGGAGCAGCGCTACGAAGCAGATGAGGAAGAAAAAAAAAATAGCATCTAGCGTTCTTTGATACCCGATTATGGGCCTTGGCGGTCAAGTTGGGGGTCTTATTCCCCGGTTTTTGACGGCCCTCTCAATGCAGTGGTACGGTGTAGTAGATTCGCATGGTACGAGTACGACGTCAGAGGGCCAACAACAACTGCTGAGGATGCCTGCCGTCTTCTTCTGGGTGATCTGCAGGGCTGCCACAGAAGCAGATCGCGATTTGCGGGGCGGCAGCCTTTGGACTTGACGTCTTCTCTCGTCAGCTGCCCTCTGATGCTTGACGTTTTATACCCTGGCTGTAACACATTGATGAGAGTGAAACGGTGCTCGTTTTTGTATGTAACATGCCTTATGATTAACTGTCTGGCACATCCGAGTTAGCATTGACGCCGGTGGGCGCTTACACCGGGCTCCTCTTTAAGCCGGTATACTATTACATCAAGACTCATGCTACGAGTATTGCTAATACATAGTATCGCCGGTGCTAGATGTAGCCCGATGGGAAAGATGCCTAAAAACGAGGCTAAAGGCCCGTGCTTGTTCTTTTTTTCTTCCATTTGCTCCATCGAGCGCCTTGGACAAGACGCCAATTTCAAAAGCAGCAAGATTTCTTTGGCCATGCCTACGGCAAGAGACCGAGGCTGCTATACTAGCTGCTTGGTATCACGACTCGAGCAGGCTCCGTGCGCCTAGCTCGCTACTCACCGCATTGCGGGACGATGCAGAGCCGAGACCTCGGTCAGCACCAAGTGACGTGAAAATCGGCAATCGGGGGTTTTTCTCTCTGTGGGAATCAAGCCTAACGATGGGGACAGAAAGACCCGGGGCAAAAAGAAAAAGAAAAAAAATTCATACAGCCGCCCGACTGCTTGGTAACGGGCAAGTCAGTAAGACGCACCCCCCACCGTTCCGCTCGGGTGCTCGTGACCGCCAGGCTCCAGGCTCCAGAACGAGCTAGGTAAACACAAGTCGATGATGACATGGACTTTTGACGGTCAAGAGTGTGCTTTGTTGGCCGTGTTAGTGGCATGCGGTGTCTAGATGTTCGGCCGTCACACAAAGCACCACGTCAACAAGAGTATGTACTCGGGCAAAGGTGCTGCTGCTCGCCCATTCGCATGTACTCGTTCACGCCATCGGCTGGCCAGTAGCATGCCGTTTCACTCACACATCCTGCAGCCTTATCCTCCCACGTTGTTGACATATTCCCACGGACCTGGAATGGATGGTTGAGTCGGCCTCTCAGTGGTTCGCCGTCAGCAATCACGGACTGACTCTCTTGTGCGTGAGGCTCGCAAGGGAACTAACACCGCCATCCCTGTGCACGGCGGCGTCTATCATTGGGGCTTCAAACATGCGGCTGGGCAAATGACTCACATGGCAGCTTCAACATGCGAGTTTCGAGCCGTGAGCTGTCAGACAGTTCCAGTCCCCGATTTAGCCACAGCTTTTCAAAACATGGGGTATGCTCATCAATCCAGAGCTCCTCCTCCCCCCCCAAAAAAAAAATGCCACCCTAATGCCAGTCCTACCAGGACAGCTGTGGGGACATCTGAGATGTTGAGAAGCAGTAAGCAAAATATTTCCTTTCTTTTTTTTTCGGAGCATTCATTACCCGCCAGAAAATAGCCCGACCGCTCTCCCCCCATGATGGGATTAAATTACTGTGAGCACATGCATGCGTCTATCGATGCACGTTCCAAATTAAGAGTCATTCGGGCGGGGCAATGATGAAATCATAGGGGTCCTCTCTTTTTTTTTTTTCTTTGCCTTCTATCTCTTCTAATGGCCGTTCGCGGAATTTTGCCCAGGATCGCCACAATCATGGCCTGCCTTGGGGTTAGCCTAGCTGACAGCTCGCATTGTGTGATTCTCTCTTTGATGGTTGCTGGCACAGATCACAGACTACCGAGTCCTATGTACACACGATGATTACCCCCGGTTTAATTTCCCAGTGCCCTTGACATGACAGCACAACAAGAAAAGGAAGACGAAACAGCATAGATAACATAAATGATCTTATCGCGAAGTGGACACTCCACCCTAAACTAACTAAACAAGCAGGGCAAAAAGTTGAGCCTCCGGATATATCCGGACATGTCCATGAACCCAAGATGAGCACAGGCAAAAAAAGCAGAAGGGGATTAAAAATCAGATCACTTTAACAAGAGTCCACCCAGCGGGGACAAGGGCCATCTCGAGAAAGGCTGCGCACGGGGCAAGATAGGTAGTTACTTGTAGACGTCGTATCCGCCTCACTCATACAAACAACACGACAGGGCTGTCCGTAAGTCGGATAAGGCGTCATCCTTTTTTTTTTTTGCCCTCTTTTTTGTTTCGTGTCTGAGCCACCCCGCGACAGGACGGGTACCTGGCCTGGGCTTTTTTTTCCCTTCTTTGCTTTTTTTTTTTTTTTTCGTTTATTTTGACGGGTGGATATGCTGTCATCTGTTGCCTGATGGGCCACTACCCCCTGCTTATCTTTTGTCTCATTTATTTCTGGCCTTCTGTCTGTATCTTGCGTCTACGCGTCCCTTCGTACTCGCATGTGATGCGAAATAACGACAGACGGCACAGCTCAGACATTTTGCCTGTACGGCTGAGCTTGGTATTTCCAATGTTTCACTTGCCGACAGCAGGGCTCTCCGGCAGCCCTTGATCCCGCTGCAGTATTATCGCGTACTGTATTCGTAGTACGGAGTAGTACATGCTAATGTATCCAAGTCTTACATTTTGACAGATCGGCAGTCGCTGTATTACTCTATCACTACCGTATATAGCAGTATCTACCGTACGAGCAGCACTAATTTAGCCCGTCAAAGAAGGATTCAAGCCCTTGGGTGGCACAGTCCTCCCCGATGCTCTGTATATCCAGGCAGACGGATGCCTTGTGAACCTCTCCCGATCGTCCATGCTACCCGGTAATCGAATCACATGGCAGCACAAGGCACAAAGGACCTGCAAGCTTATCCGTACCGCATCTCCCAAGAATCCTCCCACAAAGGCGAGCTGTAGTACGAGTACCCGCAGGATCCGCCTTGCAGGATGGAAGGAATGCATTGCAGTACAAGAGCCTCCGTATTGAAAGCACGTGTACCGAGTAGCCCTTCTTTTTCCTTCTTAGTGCCGTGCATCGAGAGCTATCGTGTCGCCTGGCCCACGGCTAGTGCTCCTCCCAATCTCCCAAAAATGGCAGCACCCGAATCGGTATCCGTACATCCCACACGCCTTCCACTCTTCTCGGTACGTACCCACTGGGTAGTAGATGTCACACACTGCTCAAGTACGTAGTACACCGCCGTTTCGAATTGATCGAGCTGCGGGCAGATTTCTGTGCCGTACTATTTTCTCTCTGTCTCGTCTGTGGCCCTGTGCCGAGACTGGGGTGGGCAAGGTTTAATTGAGTGCGGTGGATCCGCCCCCCTCTGGAGGCAAAAAGGGAAAAAGAAAAAAGAAAAAAAGAAAAAAAGACTATAACGTCTCGGATATCGTTGACGCAAGACAAAATTGCGTGCGGAGCAGGAGTTCATTACGCCAGATCATGACGCTGAGATGCCACATCCTGTACCTTGTACCCCCGGAGGGTTGACTGGGGTATCGGATAACTGAACAGTATCGACAGCTGCTGTTTCATCATGTCTGGCTAACGTGAAACTGTTCGGGGGCCACGGCCTTTTTTGTCTTTCAATCGTTTACTTTGCAATTTCGCACACCTGAATAGTAAACCAACAGCTCATCAAGACACCGGTATTTGTCATTTTGGTTGCCGATATGCCGGCGGCAGAAGAAAAGGGAACAGAAATTAGAAATTATTCTAGTGCAAACCTGTAAGATGAGGCAATCGCGGCTAAATGGGGGGTCCCGAGTCTATGACATGTACGCACTAGCAGTAAAATTACCTGCGACCATCTAAGTTTTTATTATTATTATTTTGGTTAAATTTTTTCTTTGTTGGGGTGCTAATCATATCACTGTTTGTATAAACAAGTGCACAAACCCTTTATTTGGTGTGAAGCATATTAACCACCACCTGTAGTCTTATAAACGTGCCAGGGGGGTGATGTGACGGATAGGTACGCAATTGACTTCCGTTGCCCTCCCTGAAAAGTGGCTTTTGCAAGCGAACCTGAATTCAATTCAAAGGGTTGCCCCCTATGCAGGTACCTCGAAACCTTCATCACCACCCTCAGTCTGCCTTTCTGACTGATCACCTCGGCGTCGCAACTCAATTCCAAAAAAAATCCCCAAGCAACTTGCAAGTTCTGCCAGGCACCGCTCGCCAACGCCCGTTCGCTCGCCCGAAAGTTTGCCACCTCCTGGCGCCAACGTCCGCCGTTCCCTGCCGTGCGGAGTTGATGCCATGCAGAGCCACGCAAGGAGAGATCTCGCCGTGGTCAGCTTAGGGTAGCATCGCTCCCTACACACATAGCCCTATCATCGCGAGAGTCGAGGCCGAATCAGAGGCAGCGCCCAGCAACCCAAAAAAAGTGAAAGCTGATCAAAACGGCCGTCCAGGCCCTTGTTCCAGCTCTCCCAGGGGGCTTTGGCTGGTTCCAGCCCTCTGGGCCGTCCTAGCGCAAACTGGCGCCTGCCAATCACGGTGCCGTTTCTGCCCTCCGCATTTCCCGAGAGCGTTGCTTTGCTTTGCTGGCAGTTTTGCCCTGCTTTTGAATTTTGTTCAAGGTTCCCGTCCTTGAGTGGCGTGTGGCCAATCGCGGGATGCCATTGGCTGCTTCAACCCGGCTGGCGTGCCGTGGAATCGTTCCATTTCGCTTCTAACCAGCGTCCAGCAGGCATTTCTCTCCTTTATCACCTCTCATTTACCCTCAATGCCGTTGGTCAACGAAAGCATGCTCGGTAGCTAGGCGAAA